TTATTTTTTATTAATTTCCTACCAAAATTCTCTTCTCTGTCTCTCTCTAACACATTTAGTTCTCATGGAAAGTGCCAATAATATAAATTTTACGAATAAGTGCAATAAGTCATTGGTTTTGGGACATCAAAAGCTTATAAAATCTAAAATAAAAAATAAGGGTCCGTATTTAAAAAAATGAAGTTGATGATGGTGGCCGAAAGACAAAACTTCCGATTTTAAATTTGATGCTAGCATCCTGTAGGCGGAAAAAAGTGGCTATGAAGAAGTGACATTTTCTTTTAAATATCTTTTCAAATTAAGTCGAGAAAAAATAAAAACAATTTTGCAAAATTTCGGTGTTTTTCCGGATATCTCCGGAAGTATTCGGAATATCCTAAATATCAAAGCGGCATTTTGTTAAGCATCAAATTACGCAACTTTGCCCGAATTCAACCAACCCTGTATCTCTCACCGTTTCCGAGATCCCAATGATGTGGCTCAAATTTGAAACACCCTGTACACATCATGGACGAAAAATGAAAATATACTCACTTACAGTCATTTTGAAAACCAATACGGAAGAAAATTTGGAGAAATATGAAAGTAGAATATTTATACTTAGATGTAAAGCTGACGACCTAAGTAAACCCAAATTTCTTGCTTTTCAAAATAACATATAGAATTTTCCAATGTAAAATCAAAAAAACATAAATAAAATAAGAAGGTCAAATTTACAAAAAAAATTTATTAACAATTCAGTCTCGTATTGAAAAACTAGAGAGTAGGCCTTGGAGTAGGCAATCAAGGGCAAACATCGAAAGTATGTACTTGGACTTGGTAATACAAATATGTATTCACTTTTTTTCTAAAAGTTGAAATTAATTATCACTTGAATTATCATTACTACCTATTACTCGAGCTATTACTTAATAATTTAGTTTCCTGATAATAAAAAAAAATTGGGGGTATAAGCAAACATGACCAATCCAAGATCTATTTCATATTTCACAGAAAAGTTTTTGGGTCGGTTTTTGGGGATACATATAGACCTAACAACTTCAAGAACGCTTTGTGTTTTCTGAACAAAAAGTGGGAAAATGAAGCTGTGGATAACTTCAAATTGTTTTGTTTCAACAACGTCAAAAAGGCTGCGTAAGAATTTTGGATTCTACGCACAAATTTTAAGTTTTGCGCAGAATCGTGACAGTGAATTGTATGGTTTCCTGCTGTGTTGAAACCTCGGTTGAAACAAAGCTATTAAGCCTCCATACTACGAATACATAAAAATACATGAGAATACATAGGGAATAGATGATAATACAAATTTACAACTTGGTTTACAACTACCAGTGAGCAACAACAACTAAATCTCAAGTATATAAACTATTAAGGACCATTGCCTTTTTCCATAAAAGAACATGGAAGTTCGAAATCATTCAGAACTCTACGCACGAAATCATCGTCAATTTGAAAGGTTGTTTGATTGAGCTTTAATTTGAATTTAATTTAGGTTTAACTCAGGATTAGGGTTAAATAGGGTGGTGGCGGTGTTTTTGCCGACTATTCATTTTGTTACTTTCCTTGGTTTCTTTGTCGTTTTTCTTCTTGAGAAAGAGGAAAGAGGTGTGTTTACAAACGGTCTAAAGCTATTTATTGGTTGGTATAAGATAATTGTTTGTTTGATTGTATAACATATCCCTAACAATAAAGAAAAATATTGGGTATACAGGGTTGTCGTTATGTATGGAAACTGGAAACCGCCTAATATTTCAGACCGCACTTACGAAAAGTGTACAATATTTCCTACCTGGAATGCCTGATTCAATGGTGGTATGTTGCCAAGTTTACCGTTTCTAAGATGCTGTATGTAACTTATTTTTTTTTTATGAATGAGAGTCCTGCTCCATTTTTATTGTAATTGATTCAGCGTTCCAACATTACTAAAACCCCTAAATGTCAAACCTCCATTGGACTTGGTTTTTGAGATATGACAACACAGTTTTTTGTTGAAATGTATGGAATGGATTTAGTATTTCAGAATAGGCTTCAGGAAAATGTGATAAATGCAGAGAATAATGCATATTCAAGATTTATAGTGGAGCTGGTAGGCCCACGTAGGAAATATTCTACATTTTTGTAAAGCCTGTTCTGAAATACGAGACCGATTCCATATATTTAAACAAAAAACTGTGTTGTCACACTTCAAAAACCAAGTCAAATGGAGGTTTGCCATTCAGGGGTTCTAGTAATTTTGGGACGCTGAATCAATTAGGTACAATAAAAATAAAGAGGGACTCTCATTTAAAAAAATTAAGTTACATACGGCATCTTAAAAACGGTAAGCTTGGCAATATTGCAAATACCACCATTGAATCGGGCATTCGCAAAAACCTCCAGGCAGTGCCGTATTTTCCTATACGCACAGGCGTAGGGCGGCAAATCTGGGGAGGCGGCAAAATTTAAAAAAAAGAATCAGAAAAAAGACAAAAAATAATCGGGAAAAGAAAGCCGAAGATCCAGCGCGAAACGCGGTTCTGTTTCGCGTTGGACCTTTATTTGATTTTTGATAAATTCGAATAATATTATAACAAATACAAAAAATAACAAAGCACAAAGAACAGATACCTACCAAAAAAATTATAGAGCCTGTAAACGCCGGTTTTGAAAATAAAAAGTGCATATGAAAAAAATGAATCGAACGAAAGAACACACACAGATCAAAATAATGTACCTATACCAAGTTTAGGTGATAAAATGTAGGTAGTACTGAAAAAAAAAAATGAAAAAAGGCTCAAAATAAACGTTTTTGGGCGTGGCACCCAAAATGATTTTTGTTTAATCCTGGCGTCCCTGTTAAGTTTGCCCCTTCCGCCTCCAGAAGCCTGGCTATGTACGCCATTGTCCGTGTCCTAGTCCTGTATCTTCTTGGCCCCCCGTTTTTTGAGGTAAGCGCCCCTGGTGCCAACATGAGGGCGGCCTTTCCAAACAGGCCAGGGGCGTAGCCACGGGGGAGGTTTTAGGGGTTAAACCTTAAACCCCCCCCCCTTGATCAGAAAATATAATTAAAAACCACGAAACCTATGTTTTAGCCGAGGTTTTAGCATATACTTTTTTACCCTCAAAATTTTATTTTTTTCATATTAAGCATTGACCTTGAAATTCTACAAAATTTTCACTTGCGCACAATTTTTTTTCCGACATTCCTATGGTCATGCAATGTTTCTCATTTGCAATAGCGAAACCCCCACCCCACCTGAATTTTCTGGCTACGCGGCTGGCAGCAAATTGGTAAATCCGGCACTGCGTCCAGGTAGGAAATATTATACATTTTTCTTAAGTGCGTTCTGAAATAATGAGCCGTTTCCATACATAACGACAACCCTGTATATATTATTTAGAGCACATAACATCTAGGTGCTACATAATAAATCCTGTTTCATATGAATTTAATTAAGAGCTAATTCTATAAACTTGTCATAAATCAAACATCTTATGATCAATAAATGAAAATAAAAAATGAAATACCAAGTGAAATATGTAGGCAATACATAAGAATATATAGGAATGCAAAGGAATACTATGACATAAAGTCTGTTCGCATAGTAATCACCAGCCAGTCAGAGTGAGTTTCATTGGTTGAAACTAGTTTTCTGACTGTTTTCAACCAATGAAACTCGCTCTGACTGGTTTGTGATTTCTGCGCAAACAGACTTTATGCTGAGAACATACAGGAGGGACAAAAAGTGCAATAACTCAAAATCTCATTCCACAGAAACATCTTAAAAAATGAGAGGTTTTGGTGATACAGATCTTAAATTTAAGGTCTTGTATCTCTTAACCAAAACAATAAATTTTCAACAAGAAAGGCATTCTGTGAATGATGCAAAATGCTATTTTTCAATAATTATTTCACAGAATATGCTCTTTCACTAAAATTTAAATATATAATTCAAGCATAGGATCTTAAATGAGGGACTGTTCCAGTGGCTTAAAGCTTTGATTGCGCTGTTGCCAGTTGTCACTAAATGTAGTGCGCCGTGAAAAAAAAAATTGAAACTCATTACAAAAAAATAAATTTAAATTGTGTATGATAATTAAAAAAAATGTTATGAACTCTTGAATCCTTAAGTAATTAATTTAACTATTTCTCTTGGTATTTTGCCAATATTTAGGAATTAAATTATATATATTACAAATTTTCAGTTCTTACAGTGAGTGGCAATACTGTCAAAATTCAAGTTGTAATGTAGTGGAATAAATTATGTAATGTGTTTTTATTTAGAGAGTTTTCTTTTTTATTTATTTTGTCAACTCTCAAGTTTTTCAAAAGGGTGCAGAAAATTCAATTTTCAGTTGCTTCATCCAATTATACCAATTTCAGGAATTAGTGGAAGACCCGAGAAAAGACCCATTGAGCAAAATGGCTTCATAGGTAGTTTTTTGAAATCCTGTCACCTGTCATTTGAAAAAATCTTCTTCATCATCCATGGCCTACTACCTACTACTCCTTATTAGACATTATACAATATGTAGGTATAATGTATAATTTATACTATACCATATCAAAGTTATTACTAAACTGAATTCTTTTATTCACATTAATTGAAATCAATGCTTATGCAATTCAGTGGATATTGATCGCGTAATAATGATCAAATTTAATTAATTGCCTTTTGCATTGCACACAAATTGCACAAAGTGTTAACTGATTGTTGAGACATCCTCATATAAGTAAAAACTACACTTTGTACACGACATAATTTTTTTTTTCACTTTAACCAGTGAGTAATAATGCAATAATTATTAGAAATAAATACTTCTAAATCAAATCCACTTACTTAGAAGATACCAACCAAAAAACAATTATATCCTTTTAATTATAATATAGTACAATGCTATATGAAGTAGATATAAATATTTATCAAACAGACCCACACTGAGCAGGCAGACAACATGGCATCCATATTGTCACCAAACAAAAACCAAAAATTTAAAATCTCTTTTATCCTACTAATTACCTGATGTCGTGTCACGAATATGACTCCGAATGCTATATAACTTCACTATTATCAAAGTTTTTTATATTTTTTGAATGCATAATTGAGTTTATAAATGGGGGATAGTGTTTTGTGGTGAACAAAGCCTGGGCACTTGGCAGAAACTCTGTACGAAACCAAACAACACGAAAGTTCGCTTACAACTGCTGACTGCTTGGACAAGGGAAACCTGCTGATAGGTCAGCTGTTTGTCAAAAGAGGAAAGTGGGTGGCAAAGGATGGGTAGAGAAAAATAGAGAATAGTTAAAGTGAGATGGGTGATGGGTGTCGATTTGATGGATTTGTAAGAACCGTAAGAACAGACAGAACAGAACAGAACAGAACAGTGCATGTCAGGACACAACAGAAATTGTTGAAAGTAAAAAATAGCGGTTGCAGGCGTGATTTAATCAAAGGCGATTTCTTGCGATGTTTTAACGGAATAGTCTATCCAAGATTAGGCCAGTGACCTGAAAAAAATCCAGTCTACTACACTCCAACGCTAGAACACAATCCCGAACCCGTTCTTATGAGCATTTTAAGGAAGGTTTATTGATATATGCTGTAATTTAGTTTTAAAATTCGATACTTGTGTACATATTTCTATCCAAATTTGAACATTTTCTCCTGCCAAACCAAAAAAATCCACGGAATACCATAAAGGCGATTTCGGAATTCGCAGAAGTGCTCCACAATTACTTTGCGCGTTCCAGTAATTAGAGTGTCGTACACTTGAACTACTCATTTCTGTTATCCCCTGCCTCCCTCGAGCACCAACCTTTATTTCGGTGTTTCATGCTCCTGAAGTCCGAAATGGGTGGGGGTTAAGACGGGAGCGTTCCAGTGCTGCTTGTGTGGAACAGTTCAAGTGCGTCACACTCGATACTCTAACAATTTAGGCACTGGAAAGCAGCTCTGATTTCTCTCAGATCCAAATTTCAAACTTTGGATCATATTTATATAAACTGATTCCAATCAATGCAATCAAACAAAACACACAGATTAACGATTTGTTTTCTTCGTAAATGGAATTTTTAAAGGATACTCTTTTTACTCCTTTTCTATTTACCAGAACGCAAAAATAGTCTTGCTCCATTTAACTCGAACCGATGGAGTAGAAGAGTCAAAAAGATAACCATCCTCATCATGAAATATGTGACAACTGACAATTTTGTCACGGTTGGCGAATGACGTCTGTTAATTTGAATAATTTGTCATTCTACTCAAACCAATGAACTATAACCATAAATAGTTTTTAGCTATAGTTCATTGACTCAAACGTAAACAAAACAAAGCAGTTTGGTTAGAATTAGAAAATTTTTGATTTTTGTAGAGTTTCTTCGCCGGTTTTATTTTTTGGTCTTATCACGAATACAGGTAAGTGGAAAACGTAGTTTCTGGGTCGAATAATGAATATATTTCACATGAACTGCTAACGTAACAACACTCTTCTTAGCACTAGCAGAAGTTGTGAAAATCTGTGTTTCCAGACACTCTACAAAGAGAAAAGAGGTTATTAATGAATGAAATTGCATTTCTCTTTTATTTTCTACAAATATTGTCGAAAGTTGAGTTGAACACAGAATTTGTTGACTTGCAAGAAGTAGTGCAAAAAAGTACTTACCTGTCGTTTCCATAAAGCAAAATTGAATACAGAAATAGGTTTTTCTAAAATTAATAAACGTACCTACTTATATATTAGAGAAATTAGAGATGAAACTCGAGACGAGAAAGTTTTTTCAACTCCCCTGTAATTAAATTCCTGATACAATGGCGAATGAAATTAATACAATGGTTAATGGTTACAAAGGGCCATCTAAGCCCTATTAACCCAAGGTTGTTTAAAAGAAGTAGATTGCCTGATAACTTTTCTGACGCCATCTGGATGCCCAAACGTAGGGTGACCATACGTACAGCATTTCGCTGTATTGTACTGCATTTTCAAAGTCTGTCCAGCATTTGATTTTGTACAGCAAACGTACAGCGATTCGGATCCGATCATAATTAAGTTTTTCTTAAAAAAAATTTACGAAAAATTGTCCGTCAATAACTAACGACATTTCTACATTTGCGATTTGCGTCATTTACGCCATCATCTCCCAGAGTATTCTTTTTAATGCTAACTACCTTTTTTTATCTCTCTCTATTCCACGCTGCTAAGAAGAAGACACAGCATAATAGGTCTGCTTCTGCAGCAATCACAAACCAGTCAGCACGAATTTCATTGGTTGAAAATAGTCAGAAAGTCAGAAAACTAGTTTCAACCCAAGGTTCCCAAAGTTAATAGGTTGTCTGCTAATGGTAAACAGATGACGTTATCAGGAAGATCTAATGGAGATTTGCATTATTTTTAGGCATCCAGATGACGTCATAAAAGTTATCAGCCAACCTACCTCTTTCAAACAACCTTGGTTTCAACCATTAGGGTTTTCAACCAATGAAATTCACTCTGACTGGTTTGTGATTTCTGTGCGAACAGACATATTATGTTATGTCTTTTTTTTTTTTTTGTTAAGTGGTACTAAAACGGGCTATAAAGTCATTAATAAAAAATTAGTCATAAAATTTGCATTTAGTGCTTTCTCCACTCATCTGTCCCAAAATTTTAGATGTGTACAGCATTCATACAAAAAAAATATGGTCACCCTACCCAAACGTAATGCAAATCTCCATGAGAATGAGCATGAGAACCACCTGATGACGTCATCCAGGTTACCTCTTGGATTGCTCATCGGCTTCGATTTTTTAAATCATGGTCATTATGGTGTTGCACCGTTGCCGACGTCATCAACGGTGTCTTTAGCCTTTTGCGCCACTGGTTGTAGTAGGTCTATAAACCCAGCAGTCCCAAGGTGGAAAAAAACTTCGGGAACTATATAATAATTAGGTGCTTTTTAGGTGCTAATTAGGGCCTCTAATTAAAAATTAGGTGCTCCTTTAGTTTTTGAGAAAATCAAAAAAAACCAAGGGATTGCTAGGTTTATGAAAGCTAGCAGTCCCCTATGGTAAAAAATATTTTTTTATTTTTTTGTTTGTTTCAGAATTAGGTGCTATTTAAGTGCTCCTAAATAGTTAAAGAAAAACTTGAATCAGTTAATTATTAACTGAATTACCTACAGATTTTTTTCATTATTAGGAAATTGTTGGCTTCACTTTTACTTGGTGATGTGCCAGAATAGAAAAAAATTTTGGGGTCTATATAATAATAATAATTAGGTACCTTTTAGGTGCTAATTAGGGCTACTAATTAAAAATTAGATGCTCCTTTAGCTTTTGAGATAATAAAAATAAAAAGAAGGGACTGCCAGGTTAATGGAACCTAGCAGTCCCCTTTTTATTTTTTTGTTTGTATCAGAATTAGATGCTCAAAAACTAGAGGAGCACCTAATTTTTAATTAGAGGCCCTAATTAGCGCCTAGAAAGCACCTAATTATTATATAGATCCCGAAGTTTTTTTGCCATTCTGACACACCAACAAGTGAACGTAAAGCCAGCAGTCCTTTAATAATTAAAAAAAATCTGTAACTCAGTTAATAAATAATCAATTCTATTTCTTCTTCGACTATTTAGGAGCACCTAAAACGCACCTAATTCTGATACAAAAGAAAATTTTGAAAAAATATTTTTTACTATAGGGGACTTCTAGCTTTCATAAACCTAGCAGTCCCTTAGTTTTTCTTGATTTTCTCAAAAACTAGAGGAGCACCTAATTTTTAATTAGAGGCCCTAATTAGCACCTAATCTAATATATAAAATTCTCATGTCACAGTTTTAGTTACCTTCGTTCTCCGAAACGGCTTTACCGATTTTTATGAAATTTTATATGTATATTCGATAGGTCTGAGAATAGGTTTTAAGCTATTTTTTATACTCCTAAGTGATAAGGGTGGTCCACCCCAAGATTTTTTAATTTTTTCTTGCTTCTCACCTCTACATAACTCAACTTATTTTTGTTTATGCCATTCAACCGACGTAACAGTATTATCTTATAGCATTTTCGGCTTTACTGCTCCCAGAGCGCTCTCTATTTGGGTGGTGACGTCACAGATCTCTGCGGAAGTGCTCCGAGAGCGATTATGATCCAAGCGAGGCACCCTATTTGAAATCAATAGCCAAATGATGTAAAATTTTAATTTTAGGTGATTTCTGATCCAGAGAGTAAACATTAGTTTTCTTCAACCAAGGCCAAATTCACAATTGAAAAAAACTGAATTTGATTCATCTACTAGATACGTTAACACAACATTTAATAGGTATTTAATAATTCATAGGCGGTACGAAGTTAGCCGGTTCAGCTAGTTATTATATAGATCCCGAATTTTTTTTGCCATTCTGACACACCAACAAGTAAACGTAAAGCCAGCAGTCCCTTAATAATTAAAAAAAATCTGTAACTCAGTTAATAATTAATCAATTCTATTTTTTCTTGGACTATTTAGGAGCACCTAAAAAGCACCTAATTCTGATACAAAGAAAAAAATTGAAAAAATATTTTTTACTATAGGGGACTGCTAGCTTTTATAAACCTAGCAGTCCCTTAGTTTTTTTTGATTTTCTCAAAAACTAAAGGAGCAGCTAATTTTTAATTAGAGGCCCTAATTAGCACCTAAAAAGCACCTAATTATTATATAGTTCCCGAAGTTTTTTTCCACCTTGGGACTGCTAGGTTTATAGACCTGGTTGTAGTTCAGAATATACATGTATGATGAAAAATATTTAATTTTGATTAGCATAAGCTCTGTTCCAACCGACATGAGAACCGTTCTAGAACGGTAATTTCCAATCGATCAATTCATTTGCCAAGTAGGATAAACGTTCAACGTTTCGAAAAATAGGTGCGCAACTGGAAATTGATCGTTCTGGAATGGCTCTCATGTCGGTTGGAACAAAGCTATAATAGGCAAAGAGGAATATACAAACGAAATCTAAAAAAGAGTTGTTTTAGAATGTTAATTAATACTAAAACCAAGTATGCATAAAGCAAAAGCCAGCGCAATCATAACCTGTGGTGCAAACATCCTACGTCAAGGCGAGAAACGACACGCTGCCTACGTCATCACTAGTACTTTAGTGTGGTGGGGGGCTTGAGATTTGACCAAAATGGTAAAATTTCAATTTTTTTTTGTGTGGAACTACAAGTTCAAATGAGTTGAAATTTTGCAGGGTTTATAGTCCTCTACTAGGATGATAGTCGGGTGGCTTAGTCTTAAAATTCATAAAAATATTTCACTTCTGGCGGAGAAAGTGCTCTTTTGGATTTAGATAGTAGATATATCAAAGATCAAAAAACGCCCCAGACCCAGAAAATTTTTGACCCCCACTTCCAGTTATGACGTCATCAATGTAGAGATAAAAGAACACGTTAAGCCCGGGCCACTTGGCCAGGGAGTACCCGCTGATTCCTTCAATGTAGCGCGTGTGCGGCCAAGAACATCTAGGGCATCACAGACCTGTTATTGCTCAATCTCGTGCAGCATGAAGCCGTCTGTCCCTCTAAGAAGAATTGTTTGTACGCCGATAGTAAAAACCGTGCACGTCAAGGAGCGAACCCTAAAACGGCGGGCCTTCAGGATGTCGAATACGCCTAGTAGCAGGCTAGAGTCTCGTCCATTATCGGAATAAGCCAGATAAATCGCTCCACCAACTAAGAACGGTCATGCACCACCACCCACCTAATCAAGAAAGAGCTCTCAATCTGTCAATCTGTCAATCCTTCCGATGTCCGGGCCTGGTGAGGTTTCCCATGTTGAGTCAAATTAAGCCGCAGGCTCCCTTCCTGGTGGTGCCCTTCCGTCAATTCCTTCAGGTTTCAGCTTTGCAACCATACTTTCGCCGGAACTCAAAAGCTTTGGTTTCCCGGAAGGTGCCCTTCCAGTCATCGGAGGAACGTCGACGGATCGCTAGCTGGCGAACTCGGTCTTGCAGACGGCTAATTGCACTTCGTGCATTGGTTATACTTACGTTTAATTGGATATGGTTAGTTCGTGTAAGTTCGGGTCAGCAATGTAATGACGTCTCGGCAAGCATGCAGCTGGTAATGGCCACAGCCGCGTCGGCCTTCGAACAGTTGATTCGGGTGTTGTTTTCATTGCAGTATCTGCTTTTTCAAAACTTACAAGTATTCAACAACTTTGGATAGATTTTGGGACAGGGAAAAATCGAAGGTTTATAGGAATCCATGAGCTCTAGTCTCGTTTATCTCAAGAGATCTGCAACTTTTTACCAATATTTCATTCCATTACAGGTTGCGATACTGTATGTCGTCATTTTGCGGAGTAGGTAAGAAAGGGGCGTGGAAGGTGTGGATGGCACATCCGAATATTATTGCAGCTTCTGAGCAACTTCTTATGGGAAGACCTGAAAACATTCCACCAACGGAAAATGCGTTACTCCAACCTTGCAAGGTCTTTTATGGCTACACTGCCTGGAAAATGAATAGCAGACTCCTCCCCCCGATAGCTAGGGTTGGGAAAAAACCAATGACGGCTTTCAACTATTGTGGTCTACTATTCCAGATGTCGCAAAAATTAGTGAAGAACTTATTGCCTGTAGCTGCAAACAAAGATGTATGGCAGCATGTAAATGTGTAAGAAGTGGCCTTCGTTGTACCCAACTATGTCACTGTGAAGGTCATTGTTCTCAAAATTATTAAATGTATCTATTGTAGAATATGTGAATATAAGTCTTCTAGAACTTACAAGAACATTAAAATGTATGTACACTAAGTGGCGACTATGGAAAATGATGGGAGAGGAGAGCGGAAGAAAGGGAGGGGCAGAGAGGGAGAGGGGATAAAGGAAAAAATCTAAATTTTACTAAATAAATATGTTTGAGTAAATTTTTACATGCCTAATAGCGGTTTTCTGAACCCTTTTTTGATGACGTCATAACTGATAGTGGGGGTAAGAAATGTTTTGGGTCTGAAGCGTTTTTTAATCTTTGATGTATCTAGAATCTAAATCCAAAAGGGCAGCTTCTCCGCCAGAAGTGAAATATTTTTGGGCTAAGCCACCCGACTATGAGAATCGCTGAAAATTTCAGTTTTCTATCTATGATAGAAAAAAATTTATGATTATTCAAAGTTTCTTTCCGAACCGCAAGACATCTGTTACATACATTTATATAACAGCTTTTTTATATGGTTCAGAAACCGGGCATTAGTGAATTAGGTAAATGCCTAATTATATCTATTATATTATATTATATATAATGAAGATCGGGATAAGCCCCCACACTGTCCAGGTGAGGATGTAGCCACCAGGCCAATATGGGTGATATGACTCCCACTGATGTGGCGTTGATTGAAAATGGAAGATCTTCTACTGATGTTGCTGATATGTTAGGGAAATCAAAATCCACGATCTATCGTAATGTAAAATGTAAGACGTTGGAGGCAAAAGGGAAAGTATGTGAGGAGACGAGGCCAAGGTAGAAAACGGTCAACCACGGCCAGAGACGATAGGTTTATTCGAGGGTTTATTGTTTTGCATACATTACCGAACAGGCGTAGAACAGTACTACAAATAAAAAATAAACTGGAAGAAGTACCTGGAAGTCATCGAACCATCAGCAGAAGGCTCAAAGAAATTGGTTTGATAGTCTATAGAACTCCAGCAACATCATCGAGTGGCGAGTTTGCGCTTTGTTAGGGAACATGAACATTGGGAATATGATCATTGGACCAACGTTTTTTTTTTTTTACAGATGAGAGCTGCTTTTGCATCAATTCAATCGATGGCTGGGAAAGATTATATCGCCGCCAAGGAGAATTAGACGAACAATGTAATTTTACTGCTTCTGTCTCCTATGGTGGAGGTTCAGTTATGGTCTGGGGTGGGATATGTTTAGGGGCACGAACAGAATTGGTGGTTGTTAATGGGGCTCTAAATGCACAGGGATACATACGAGATGTTCTGCTACATCATGTCATTCGCCCTGCATATCGGAGAAAATTGTGGCGAGGTCTATTTAAGGATAAATTGGAAAAGTTCCCAGCCTGGTTAAGTGTGAAGGAAGAGTTCAGTTTGGATAAATAACATTTCACCAAATGGAAAACATGAAAGAAATTTTTTGATCACCATTGTAGATTTGTGAGCATTCTTTTCACAATAAACTTACAAGTGAGAGGTAAAACTGTGAGCAATATTTAACTTGAAGTAAAAATTCACACACGGGACTTGAATGTGTAGAACAACACATTTTCATATTCAATTCGTATATCGACTTGGAGAAAATCAAAGTCAATATCAACCTTTTCTTCAAAACTCTATATTTTCAATAATAATGAAAAGAAAGATAAAAAATGGAAATGTTCGGAAAAGATCAGGCCACAATTTGGCGTTGAAAACTGTTCTCAATTATCATTGGTTCACTCCACAGGGCACGGGGTGTCTCAAAAAACTCTGACAATTATTGACTTTCTTGCCATCCCTGTGTATGATATAAAGACGAATTATTCAATGGAGGTAATACTTCAGATGTATTCGTGAAGAATCACACTACAATCTGTTAAAAATCGAAATCAACCGGCGAGTTCAAGAGAAAATTGATGTCGAAATTAGTGTAAATTATGTCCGTTCCCCTAATTTTGTCTGTGTGTTTAGTTTCGGAGATATGATTATAGAAAGTTTTTAGAAATTTAAATCCAATCTATATATGTATGAGAACTATTTTAAAAAGTAAATAAATCCTCTTTTCAGAAAATGGCAAACGACCCTTCACCAGACACCGCAATTCAATTCGTCTCGCCCAAAACCAAAATCCACAAATTCACCGATACGATCTTAGACAAAAAAATCATCTTCCAGATCGTTAACTTAGAAAACAGTATTATGATTTACATTAACAACATCGACGAGCCCATCTGCAACAATTTAGATTTGGCTATGTGTACGAGATTTTCGAGTACTCCTCAGACGACGTCGCTAATTGGGGCAAAGGCGGAAAGCTCAGGGAGTAATGTGGCAGGAAGATTGGCTAAGAAGCTGAATAAGACTTTGTATTTGAGTTTGAACTTGGAAGATTCTAGATTTATGGTTCCTTTAGTTGAGAAACGTTTGATACAAGAAATTAATCAGTTTCCTGGTAAGTTTTGAGAAGGCTGTTAAGAGGTTGGTTTAAGTTTAAGAGTTTTTCTTTTTTGACAATAATAATATCTAATAAAAAAATAATTTTGAGTAAAGATTTTTATTTTAACATACAATGTATTAGACAAAAACTTCTCACTCTCAAATCTTGAGGAGATAGCGACTCTTGGTTTGCATAAGATTAAAGGTAGGGATAGCAAGTGAAGAATTCTGTTTTGAATTTTTTTATGGCTGAAATATGTCAAATGTGAGATCTGACCGCCGTAGTCATTCTACTGATCACATTCCTTCATATTACTTTTTAAAAATATAGAGATTTGCGATTTGAATAAGATTTTGCCCCAACAGGCAAAACTTAGATTGACTTGTTTTTTTTTACCATTATGGCTCATTGTCAGTCCTCATCTTCATCAAATTAATGGTTACTGAGGAAATTGATGAATATGATTGATCATTTATGCATAATCATACAAATTACTTTCAGTATTCCAAATTCGCTCCATTTCCAATGTAGATCAACCGAAAAGCCCCCATAAGGGTATCAAATTATGCACGAGCCTCACTTGATATTCACATCATTTAAGACTCTTGGCGTTCGAATTTTAATTGTTCATTAACAGAATGGTATAAAATAATCGCGGAGCGGATTTAATTTTAACAGTCGTGCACCATGCTTACCATTAAGCTTTGCCCTTACATTACCATGATAAGCGTTTGCCTTATCGTGGTTTCTGGTGAAGAATCCAAGCATTTTTTTCTAACCGCTGCTAAAAGTGTACCAAGAATCGGGAGGAGTGCTAGTAAAAATGGGAATTCCGATTTCGAAAACTTCTTTTTGAAAGCTTCAAAGTCTGTACCGAGAATCGGAAGAGAAAATAACGAGGTAAGAATAATTCAAATAATTAAATTGTTTTATGTCAATTTTTTGTTTGTTTAGGGGATTAATTCAATTGATAATGATGGGTGGGCTAGCCCTATGAAATGTAAGTAGATTTTTTTAGGTTTCTGGATTTTTTTTTTCAACCTTATCTTTGCTTAAGATCCTAACTGGAACGACATAGCGTACTTATACGAATACCAGCCAGAATTATTTGCATCAGACGATCTACACGATAATTACGAACAACATTTGCTCGGAAATGTTCCTTCCATGTACAATGCTGAAAACGCAAGATTTAAAAGGACCATTCCGCAAAGGTTTACTTTCAGTGGGAGAAAGTAAAACAAAATTAGGAGGATATGATGATTCATAAAATGACCTATATGCGACGAATTGAGGACCAATTATTATTATTTTTATTGTAATTTATGTATTTTATTTTAATCTTAACTGTTTTAAAATGGCGAAGTGTTGGAAAATTCTGTCATAAATAAAAAGATTATCTGTATTTGAATTTGATAGGATTATGTGTTCTATGCGATAAGATTCATTATAATTGGATGACACTGTGGGAAAATAATCCCCTAAAACTGAAATAATTTTCTTCTAGAATACTCATCTGGTCTGTGAGCGGATTTGTAGATAAGTGAGACCGAATTTCAATCAAGACGATACTCCCAAACCTGAGAAATATTCGCCTCAATGAAAGCACTCTTAACAAGAATTTAAATTCCTAGGAATAACCATAGATTCTAAACTTCTCTGGAACTGATATGTAGGGAACACAAAAACAAGGCAATCTCGGCACTCATGGTCTGCAAAAACATTGCGGGTAATACGTGGGGTTGTAACCCATCAATCCTACGATGGATGTATACCATGATAGTGAGACCTATCATCACCTTCGGAGCAGTAGCCTGGTATAGCCGAACCCAGCTAGTCACAGTTGGGAAAAGTGCAAAGACTCGCGTGTCTCTGTATATCAGGAATAATGAGATCACTAATTCCAAACCGCGGCACTGGAAGTCATCCTAGACCTCACACCACTTCACATAATAGTGAAGCGGGTTGCCAGTGGATCATGTCTCAGACTGCGAAGAAAGTTTACAAGGGAAAACGCACTTTGGCAGAACTTTTCCTCTCCCAAACTGTGCACACCTCATAGATCTACTTAAAGACGTGATTTTTGATAAATTCAGTTTCGAGAAAGACTTTTCCATCGAACTAAGTACAAAAAACAGATGGAACATAAAATCTATCCTAACCCTTAAAGCAAACACCATCAAATGGTACACAAAAGGTTCCTAAACTGCTGAGAGAACTAGAACTGGAGTATTCGAGCCACGGACCAGATACTCGGGGCCAATGGATGGGAAAATTACCAAGCATATTTCAAGCGGAACTTCATGCGATCGGAAGATGCGTGCAGTTTAACCTGAACAGGAGTTATCGAAAACGTTGGCAGCTATCAAAGCATTGAGATCTCCGGTCATCAATTCTAAGATAGTATGGGAACGTCTACAGGAACTCAGTAAGCTGGGAAAAGAAATCACAGTAATCCTCCTCTGATGGGTGCCTGGATATATGGGGGTCGAGGGCAACGAATGCGCAGACAGACTCGCAAGAACGGGAACGTTTACACTCTTCACTGGGCCACAACCATTTTGCCGCATCGGCACCTACAAGAAATCCTCAAAAAGGAAGAGAACCGGATAAGGAACAAACAATGACTAGAACAGCCAGTACTACAATCTATTGGACAACTTCAACCAAAAAAGATCAAAACTGCTGGTCAACCTGAGCAAGAAAAAGTCTCGACTCTAACAGGGTTTCTCTCGGGACATTGCAGACTTAAGAAACACCTACAGAAATTGAGGTTGGAAGAAGGGGGCACCTGCAGTTTCTGTGAAGACGGAGAAGAGACACCTTACCATCTTCCACTGAACTGCAATGCCGTTAGTCGCTCAAGGATGAAGAACCTGGGAAGTCTCCTTATACAGTTGGAAGACATTCCAGCCCTGGAACTGCTAAATTTCCTGAAATTCATGAAGGATCTATAACTAGAGGGCTGTTTTGAATAGGAACCCCGAACTTAGCAGCAAAAGGAGGGGTACAATAGGATCAACCTTGGTTGCAGTTCCACCTCCAACACATACAGGGAAGAAAAACCCGGAAAAATATGTGCAATATAGAAGAAGAAAAACTAAAAAAAGGTTGTTAGAGCCCTTCTCCTAGAGATCATAAATCGTTGCAAAAAAAAGGAGAAAAATATGAGCAATATAGAAAAGCCTGTCTGGCATAAATTCAAAAAACACAGGACTGCCACAGAAAATTTCATGACAGAAATAAAAGCTTTGAGACAGGATAATATTGATCTTGAGGTTTCTGGATTTTTTTTTTCAACCTTATCTTTGCTTAAGATCCTAACTGGAACGACATAGCGTACTTATACGAATACCAGCCAGAATTATTTGCATCAGACGATCTACACGATAATTACGAACAACATTTGCTCGGAAATGTTCCTTCCATGTACAATGCTGAAAACGCAAGATTTAAAAGGACCATTCCGCAAAGGTTTACTTTCAGTGGGAGAAAGTAAAACAAAATTAGGAGGATATGATGATTCATAAAATGACCTATATGCGACGAATTGAGGACCAATTATTATTATTTTTATTGTAATTTATGTATTTTATTTTAATCTTAACTGTTTTAAAATGGCGAAGTGTTGGAAAATTCTGTCATAAATAAAAAGATTATCTGTATTTGAATTTGATAGGATTATGTGTTCTATGCGATAAGATTCATTATAATTGGATGACACTGTGGGAAAATAATCCCCTAAAACTGAAATAATTTTCTTCTAGAATACTCATCTGGTCTGTGAGCGGATTTGTAGATAAGTGAGACCGAATTTCAATCAAGACGATACTCCCAAACCTGAGAAATATTCGCCTCAATGAAAGCACTCTTAACAAGAATTTAAATTCCTAGGAATAACCATAGATTCTAAACTTCTCTGGAACTGATATGTAGGGAACACAAAAACAAGGCAATCTCGGCACTCATGGTCTGCAAAAACATTGCGGGTAATACGTGGGGTTGTAACCCATCAATCCTACGATGGATGTATACCATGATAGTGAGACCTATCATCACCTTCGGAGCAGTAGCCTGGTATAGCCGAACCCAGCTAGTCACAGTTGGGAAAAGTGCAAAGACTCGCGTGTCTCTGTATATCAGGAATAATGAGATCACTAATTCCAAACCGCGGCACTGGAAGTCATCCTAGACCTCACACCACTTCACATAATAGTGAAGCGGGTTGCCAGTGGATCATGTCTCAGACTGCGAAGAAAGTTTACAAGGGAAAACGCACTTTGGCAGAACTTTTCCTCTCCCAAACTGTGCACACCTCATAGATCTACTTAAAGACGTGATTTTTGATAAATTCAGTTTCGAGAAAGACTTTTCCATCGAACTAAGTACAAAAAACAGATGGAACATAAAATCTATCCTAACCCTTAAAGCAAACACCATCAAATGGTACACAAAAGGTTCCTAAACTGCTGAGAGAACTAGAACTGGAGTATTCGAGCCACGGACCAGATACTCGGGGCCAATGGATGGGAAAATTACCAAGCATATTTCAAGCGGAACTTCATGCGATCGGAAGATGCGTGCAGTTTAACCTGAACAGGAGTTATCGAAAACGTTGGCAGCTATCAAAGCATTGAGATCTCCGGTCATCAATTCTAAGATAGTATGGGAACGTCTACAGGAACTCAGTAAGCTGGGAAAAGAAATCACAGTAATCCTCCTCTGATGGGTGCCTGGATATATGGGGGTCGAGGGCAACGAATGCGCAGACAGACTCGCAAGAACGGGAACGTTTACACTCTTCACTGGGCCACAACCATTTTGCCGCATCGGCACCTACAAGAAATCCTCAAAAAGGAAGAGAACCGGATAAGGAACAAACAATGACTAGAACAGCCAGTACTACAATCTATTGGACAACTTCAACCAAAAAAGATCAAAACTGCTGGTCAACCTGAGCAAGAAAAAGTCTCGACTCTAACAGGGTTTCTCTCGGGACATTGCAGACTTAAGAAACACCTACAGAAATTGAGGTTGGAAGAAGGGGGCACCTGCAGTTTCTGTGAAGACGGAGAAGAGACACCTTACCATCTTCCACTGAACTGCAATGCCGTTAGTCGCTCAAGGATGAAGAACCTGGGAAGTCTCCTTATACAGTTGGAAGACATTCCAGCCCTGGAACTGCTAAATTTCCTGAAATTCATGAAGGATCTATAACTAGAGGGCTGTTTTGAATAGGAACCCCGAACTTAGCAGCAAAAGGAGGGGTACAATAGGATCAACCTTGGTTGCAGTTCCACCTCCAACACATACAGGGAAGAAAAACCCGGAAAAATATGTGCAATATAGAAGAAGAAAAACTAAAAAAAGGTTGTTAGAGCCCTTCTCCTAGAGATCATAAATCGTTGCAAAAAAAAGGAGAAAAATATGAGCAATATAGAAAAGCCTGTCTGGCATAAATTCAAAAAACACAGGACTGCCACAGAAAATTTCATGACAGAAATAAAAGCTTTGAGACAGGATAATATTGATCTTGAAGAGCGAATAGTGATGTAGACCCAGGTTTAATAGCAACAATAAACAACAGGAAAGTGATTTAGAAATTTGAGGCAACTATGAAGTTCAATATTAAAAGTGAGAGGCTAAAGAATCAAGGACACCGATGATGCACCAATATTGGTGAAGCTGAAGAATACAAGGTTGAGAGTGCAAATATTCAAGAGAACGTGAGAGATTAAAGGTGGATGGAATGGACAACAATATCTACTTTAATGACTTGTCTAGAGATGTAAGAGATCCCAAGTGAAATCATAAGCTTACTGCATCAGAAAGAGAAAAAATCTACACATATAAAAGAAACTCCCCATTAGGATATAAGATGTGAACAAGATCTCCCTAAAGCAACAAAATTTGTAAAACGAGGAGCTACCTAAGCATAAGTTGCATAAAAATTATGTTTTTTCTGTGGAGTTCCAGTATTTTTGTTAGAAATGTATAAAATTTAGCCCTAAGATATAGAATTTTCTGAAATATCATAGGGGAAATTCAAAAGAATCGTTCACTTTGTGCCAAGTCTTTCAAATTTGGTATAGTTCTGGTATATGCATAGGCTTAGACTTGTGTGCGGCTTCTGGTGGCCCTATAGCTATAAATCGAATATGGCCGCTGTCTCTATTGATATTTTCAATAGATGTTCTATGAGGCGCAAAATCTTGAGTAACCAAACAACAGCAATGAACATCCATTGCTTTCATCTGGAAGATCAGTACAGTAGGGTAGCCATTCTTTGGCTATTGTCATTCCATTCCCAACTCCATTTACTGTAATCAGGGATATCAGGGGATTTAGATAGAGACATCTTTTAAATGAATGCGGTGGTGAGCAGCGCTCGCTTTGTATGCAGAAATAAAGCATGTTGTAATAGTGTTATAGATTCCCTTTGATCATCAACTTCCTTGCATCTGTAGTGACGCGGAAATAAACCACCAAGACAACAATTAAAGGTTAGGAATAACAAGGACTTACCAAACAACCATCCCAGGAGAGATCATCACATAGACAGCACAACCAGAAACAATTGAAAATTATCTGAACATCGATATCCAGAAATTATTGAAAGCCGATACCCTATATTGACTAATACATTGGAATGTGAATAAAGCAAAAGTGCACGGACCTTTTTTTTTGAATGCTTTTAACAATTAACATTCCAAAGGAGCCGAAAAATTTCTAAAAAGATCAATAAATCATGCACGAGCCTATATGATGATACCCACTTAAAAAACCACTTAGACTTGATAATTAATTAAAAGGGGACCAAATACACTAATTGATCGGATGATTCAACCACGAAAAATCGAGGTCAGAAAAAATTAAGAAATTCAAGACAATGGAGGGACCAATGATATAAAAAGGCAACTTTGGCAGGAGAAAATCAATGTTCGAGAAAGAGCGAGTAAGCCGGCAGAACTACGGCGTGAAGGACCAGTGTCGGTTGAGTAATCAAGAAACAAGTAGTCATCGAGAATCGAGAGACCTGTGTCCAGAAAGTCAGAACTACGGCGTGAAAGAGTTGTCGAATTAACCGAGAGAAGAAGGCGAAGAAGCACGACGTGAAATAACAGCGCGAAAATATTCGAGTTTTTTATTAATTGTTCATAATTAAAGTAAATTTATTCGACCAATAAGATTTCCATATAATAAGGTGTGGCCAGCAGTAAATATATTATTGTTCCTTAACAGTTAATTGATGCTTATTAGAGATTGAATAATTTTATTGTAATATTATTTATTACCGACGCCTGTTATTTAATAACGAGCATTATTTATTTTAATAAAATAAACTTTATTTTAATTAACCACAATATTTCTGTGTTTTACTCTCCATCCGCAAATAGGACCTACTTTAAACTGTGTCTCCACTCAGAAACTAAAGTCACCGCTCGCCAATTTAACATCTTGCCAAGTTTCTGAATTTGGGGTCTCGCACATCATTGACCGAATCTCACCACAGTTTATGCTGTACATCAGAACTGTGAAGCGTTCAAGATAAGACATGTGCTGTGACTCCAACGTGAAACTATTCGGTATATTTCCGACCTCAATGAACGTAGCAGAGTGACCTCAGGATAAGCAAGCAGCCCTAGATATCACACCGCGTTCAAGTCCCAAGCTGTTGACAGATATGATGGATTGGAATCTCCTTATACGACTTTTCTGATCCAAAACCTATACATATATCTGACATATTCAACCGTTTGAAGTGATAGATGGCCAGAACCACCACGTCTGTGTCCACTGTGATGAGGTCCGCTTTGGTATGTCCTTGCTTAGCAGCGTGTTGCAAAGTGCAACTGGTTTTATAGCAAACAGGCGACCATAGGTAGCGCACAAGTTGTATGCGATGGTTTTCTTAAACCTCCTGAGAATCTGGAATATAACAATGAGACAGAACAAGTTTTCAACAGAAAGAAAACGAAGTAAATAACTTAAGAAAACATACATCGAGAAGCGACTGAATGAAGCTGGAAATGATTCAAGAAAGAAACATCAAATAAACAAATCAGGGAAAGAATTACTTACAAAGGATTAAGCTGTTATCCGGTCAATTGGAAAAAACTTAGGGGAAAAAAATGACTGACATAAATGTTTACAAGGTCAAAGAAGACAATGTAGCTGAGAAAATCAAAATGGAACAACAGAGAAGTAAAGAATATAGTGCAGGAATTCAAGGAAAACCGCTCACTTCCTGGAGAAAACATAATCACAAAGAAAGATGTACTTAGGTAATACTATTGATGGACAAATAACATAATTGTCAACATACGAATCTGTTTAAAAAAATGACGCACTGAACCATCAATTCAATAATGAGTTTATTGCAAATCGACAAATCACAGGACCTAATTAACCTATGGTTATTTATGATGAGGCCATCAGAAAACGAATAAAAGATAAAGGCAGACTTGAACCGGTGCCAGTTAGTCTACTTTGAACTCAAGTCTCCCTAGTGCCAGTACCTTTCATTTGGGAAAGCCCCTCTGGGATAGCCGTATATTCATCTAGTGCCTCCATTCGGGAAAGGCCCTCTAGATGACGATGCAGTGATGACGTGTACCTCCCTATAAGGACCCTATAGCGTAAGAAAGGTCACGCATCCTAGTGTTTGGATATGTAAGTGCACATTGAAAAAACATCTACTTTTATTCTACTTAAGCGAGTTTCTCTTCATCGTTCTTAAAAATCCTCAGAGCTACAACCGCCATCTCACACCTATGTAAAGCAGGTTTGTGACAATAGGTCTGTTCTAACATGTCAAAAACCGTCCTAAAAAGCAATACCCTTGGTCAAAGATAATCCTACTCCGATCGTCGGTCTTGAGGGATTTTGAAGGGTGAGAATCAAAACTAGAGCCAAGTACAAAAATATGAAAGTGATGTATTCAATAGTTCGTCTCAACAATTAAAATGGTTGCAAAATAAAGCTTACCAAAAATACATTTGTGTTCAGTCTTAGTTGACACAGTATTCACACTAAGGATACAAACTCTCTATTGACAGTTAGCCGCCGACCTGCAGTCCCTGCAGACTACTCGTCATCAAGAGCCATGTAATAATATTCAGTGATTTGCAAAAGGCTTTTGATATAGTCGACCTAGACTTGCTTACTAGAGACTTATTCCGAAAACAGAGCACAGTAGGTAATAAACAAAAGTATCAAATCAAATCAAAATGCAAAAGATACAAATCTTGATAACAAAGTTTCCAATATGGTCTAAGCTTTCGATCAAAAATATCAATAAAGTAGGCACATTAACTATTAGATAGCGGAGATGACAAGTATTCCTCTACAGAGTAAAAAGCTTGAGCCAAAAGAAAATTCATGACTTGTTTTTTGAAATATTCACTCCCCTCTATTATTCTTGTGCTATGAGGTAGGTGATGAAACATTTTTTTTACTGTTGTAGAGGATAGACTTTTTTCTGGTATTGACCGAGGAGGGAGCATGAATATTGGAGGAATACTTCTTCTGCATAAGACATACAGAATACAGATTCTAAAATTAAGATGCAAGGCAGGGGCAAAATACATCTGCTTATAAAGAATCGTCTACAAGAGCTTCGTGGACTAAGGCCGCATACCGACCTCATAGCATGTTTCTGGAAAACAAATATGATATTGAACAATGCTAATGACCAACAACCCCAGAAGCAAATGCCATATCTAAGATTTGACCCAATTGAAGAAAAGTAAACTCTTCTACTAACCGATTCACGCAGCTCAGCCTTGACAGTTCTAACACCAAAGCATGCCGATGATATTTTTTTACATAAGTGTTCAATGTGTTTATTAAACCTGAGCTGGTCATTAACAATCAGGCCAAGATACTTGGTCTCCCTGCTTCTGCTTATAACAGTGCTATCCAGATAAACATTGCCAAGATTACATTTAAAATTCATGATGGATGTCTTTTGAGTATTAAATGACAGCTGATTGGAGTCGCACCACATCTTGATTCTTGCTAAGTTATAGCTCACCATAACAGTCAGTATGCCAGTGACTTTATGATGTCAAACTATGGTGGTATTATCGGCAAATGCAGTGCAATCTCTATGATCGGAAGATCATTAACATACACTAAAAACAACAATGGCCTCAAGACAGACACCACTGTGGAACGCTGGTGCCAACAGTCAACCCACACGGAACATTATCCTGAAAGACCACACTCCGACTTCTCTGCGATAAGTATGAGAACTTATTATTACTGAACATTCTTAAAACCATAGATTTCAAGCTTGCGCAGCAGTATTTCGTAGCTGACACAGTCAAAAGCCTTGGGCCAACTCACAAAATACAATTAAAGTGGGCGTGGCACAAGGGTCGGTATTAGGTCCTCTTTAATATCTCGTGTATGACGACAATCTCAAATATTTTGTACTTAAATCAAGATACTTTATATTTACACGCAGGGTCCTTATTTCTCTAAACATCAGGAGAGCAGCGTTCTAATAAGATCAAAGGTTCTGTCTTCGTCGTCCATACTCATATTTCCATAACTCTGATAAAGACAGAGCAATCGTTGTCATGAGAGTGCTATCTCTACGGTTTCGAAAATAGACATCCTGATGACAAAGTGTTCATACTATCACTTGAGGACTTGAACGTCTCTTATAAATGATTATGCGCATGCGCATGAATAAACTCTCTAAAAATGAAAACATAACGGTGTGATTGGCAAGACAGTTCCTATGGTAGGTGCTATAAGAAGTGTTGAATATTTAAGCCAAAAATCAAGATTGCTTTTACATAACACTTAGACTATATAACAGTTTTATCTTACCACACATAAGGTATTCAATTCCATGCTGGGGGAATACTGCCGGTTGTCATGAAGGGAGACTACAAAGAGCGAGAAGTCATAATAAGGCAGTATAGACAATTTTTCAAAGAGATTTTTATACACTGACAAAGGAAATTTATAAATAAACACAAGTCTGGGATATTGAAGAAATAAAACAATCTGAACAAAGAAAATTTATTTACAGTGTAAAAAATAAAAGTCATAAAAGTTAATTCAAATATATAACTACAAGTGGAAAACTATCATTGTTATGTGTATCTACTTGACATGGTTGACTGTAAAGACTCAGAATTATCCACTCTATAGGGGAATCGTAACATAATATAATCAAATACCGAATATTTTAGAAAAGAATATGAAACTTTACGTGCCCTTGCTATAGAAGAATTTCCTTCCAAATTAAAAAAAAAAAATATGTTCTCATGTACCATGGAAAACTATCGATAATGTCCGATGGTGCCCGCAGTGTCCTTATTCTTGAAACAGGGGAGCAGCGTTCCCAGGAGAACGAGTGTTCTGTCTTTCTCAATGATATGGAAATGATAATATAAGTAACAATGATGGAACACTGGTTCTCCTGGGAACAATGCTCCCCTTTTTCAAGAATAAGGACCCAGCCGGTCAAAAAAAGTAGATACCTACATTATCATTATAAAAAATATATTCTAAAGACCAAGAGTTATTGCTGAATTAGTTTCACTAGTGTGAACCATTACCTAAACAAATGGACACATAATCCAATAAAGATTTCGTACTAATGACGAAAATGTGAACCACCTTTTCACCTTCTAAAACCGCAAACAAAAAAAAAACAACCATGTAACATGACTGAATTCCACCATATTCGTGTCGGCACACATAAACAAGTAAAAAAAAAAACGTGACATGACTCAACAACAACCTGGGCTCGAACGACTTCGTATGTTGTAGCAACCCAACACACAGATGTGGTCCATCATTTTTAAAGTTGCCATGTTAAAACAGTATTTCCATATCTACCCTTTCCGACCAATGGCAAAGCTGTTATTATTATAAAGATCTATGGCGTGCGGTCGAAGTAGGGGCACCGGAAGGCGTTACTTGTTCTGAGCGTGCGTAAAAATTTCGATCGACTTTGTGGGGTCCGGTTCGTTTGGGCTGCTCGTCGATAGATGTCGTACAGCGTCCGCTAAATGTTCGTAGTCATTTTAGGACATTAAGTTATTAAGTTAAGTGGAAAATTATCATTTTCTCTCTTGATGATCGTATTATTCGATGTAGGTAACAATTCGATTCATAAATATACATTATTTTGAACACCTAATGGAGTGTAATTGAATTTTGTATTGTGGGTAATTTGACACTTATAACTGTGTTTCTTGTACTATAAGGTGCTAATAAGCTGTACATTATGATGTGAGCAATTGGACTGTAATTGTTTTTGTTTTTATTTTTCTACAGATTGGTCGATGAAGTTCATCGTTTCCTGTTTCTTGTTTTTATTAGGTTTTTTTCTCAAAGCAATTATTATCAAATAAAATCAAAATATGCTTTATTGTAATTGTAAAAAGCAGTTTTCTACAAAGTGAGCACTTAGTTAATTTATAAATATCTAGCAGAAAAAAAATATAATATAGATATAAAATAAACGCACTATATGAACAATTGAAATTACAAACATAAGTAAGAATAAAAATAAAACCATAATAAAACTAAAAACCAAATTACAAATAAATAAAAATACCACAAAAATACCTAAACAACTGCAAACCTTGCTACAAACAAATGAAATTTTGGAAGTTCTAGATACTTCGCAGTTTCTTCCACTTCGGAAATGGATCTTACAACGAGGAAAATTATCGAAATATCCTACCTATTGTTCATTTTTATAATACCAACAATCATAATAACTCTAGTTGACGGCGTATTAAAAAAAAAAACCTCAAAACAATACAATAACTAACCTTGTAAGAAATCCATTCCGTCGAAATAAAACAAGGATGCGGCATGACGATTTTACGCCTAGCTTCTTCAAATAATTTAGGTGGAAATTGTTTCTTGTGTGTGTGTGTCCCATTTTATCATTGTTGCTCCGGCGCCCATGCAGTGTGACAATAGATCGTTCCGAAATGTGTTTTCGTTGACTTGTAATAGAATTCGTCATGCAAAACGTATCGACATGCAAAATAATTTTTTACTAGGAAATAATATAGACATAATATCATGAATTTTATAAATGGATAGGATGTATGTTCTGTTGAATATTTATATTTCAGGAAATATTCAAAAATACTTTGAATGTGATATAGGTACTTACATACCTACCTACTTATACCTACAAAACTAAAATGGAAATGTTAGCT